TCTCATGCTGACCCACAATGGCCAATCTACACCTCAGGAATTCCATGTTGTAAACACAACAGGTCCTACAATCCTAGGCCTACCGACATGCACCAACATGAAGCTTGTTACTCTTAACTATAGCCTAAGTAAGGAGTCCAGCCAGTCATCTGAGACACAGCAAGAAACAGGACCTGCTGGCGACCCAGCAMCAAAGGRAGAAATACTTGAACAGTATGCTGACTGCTTTAAAGGTATCGGGTGTTTCAGTGGTGAGTTCCATATCACACTGGACCCTGCAGTACCTCCTGTCATTCATCCACCACGAAGAGTCCCTGAAGCATACCATGAGCCTCTGCGAGAGCAACTTGAATCTCTCGTACAACAGCAGATAATTGCAAAAGTCGATGAACCTACAGACTGGGTCAACTCGCTGYTCTGCCAGTCTAAACGGGACGGCTCCCTAAGACTATGTCTTGATCCCAAGGATCTCAACCGAGCAATCAAGCGCCCACACCATCGTACTCCAACCCTTGATGAAGTTCTCTCTAAGCTTAATGGATCAGAATTCTTCTCCATCGTGGATGCTCGAAGTGGCTATTGGAACATTAAYCTAGATCATGAAAGCTCACTTTACACTACTTTTAATTCACCCTTCGGGCGATACAGATTTCTCCGCCTTCCATTTGGCCTCATCTGTGCTCAAGACATCTTCCAAAAGAAAGTAGACGAGACCTTTGMCGACCTGCAAGYAGTCACAGGCATCACAGATGATATTATTGTCTATGGAAAAAATCGTCAGGAACATGARAACAACCTTAAGGCTATAATGGAACGTGCTCGTGAAACTGGTCTTAAGTTCAACGCTGACAAGTGCAAATTTGCCAGCAAGGAACTTGTTTTCTTTGGTCACACTCTCAGTGCTGACGGTCTAAAGCTCGACCCAAGCAAAATCAAAGCCATTGACAACATGGATCCTRCAGMAAGTCTAGTTGACCTTCAGACATTCCTAGGTATGACACAATACCTTAGCCGATTTATACCAAACCTTGCTTCTACAGCCGCAGTCCTTTGGGACTTGACCAAGAAAACCAGTGAATTCAGATGGGGACCTGAACACCAGAAAGCAGTACAAGAGATAAAGAAGCTTATCGTATCCCCAGCTTCACTCCAATATTTCGACGGAACAAAACCAGTGATTGTCCAGGTAGACGCATCTCAACGTGGCCTTGGTGCTACACTTCTTCAAGAGAAAGGACCAGTCGAATACAGAAGCAAACTCCTCACAGAGGCTGAAAGAAGATACTCTAACATAGAGAGAGAAATGCTTGCAATAGTTCATGGCCTAGAGAAGTTTCACTACTATGTGTATGGTCGTCACGTGATTGTCCAAACAGACCACAAACCGCTGGAAGCAATTTTCAAAAAACATCTATCAAGTGCGCCACCTCGTATTGCCCGGATGATGCTCCGAATCCAAAAATATGATGTTGAAATCAAYTATGTCCCTGGTAAGGATATACCTCTCGCTGATGCACTCTCACGACTTAACCCATGTCACGGTGATGCAATCTCCGGCCTCGATGTTTCAATACACGAGCTACACCGTCACCTCAACGCTACRCCAACAAGGATAAAACAGATCCAAGAAGAAACCATGAATGACACCGAACTCCACAAACTTCGTGCAGTCATTTCTCAAGGTTGGCCTAACAAGAGATCTGAATGTCCTACAATCCTACACCCGTACTGGAACTATCGAGATGAACTTACTGTCGCCGATGGACMAGTACTTAAGGGTACACGCATCGTGATCCCTAAGAACCTGCAATCAGAAGTTCTTCAGCAACTCCACTATGCTCACCAGGGTTCTGAGAAATGCAAACTTAGAGCCAAGGGATCAGTATTCTGGGCAAATATAAATGCCGACATTGAAAACATGGTCAAAGCATGTCCAGCATGTCAACACAATCAGCCTATGAATACTAAGGAACCGCTTATGCCTCACGATATTCCATCCAAGCCCTGGCATACTTTAGGATCTGATCTGTTCTTTTGGAATGGTTCACCATATCTACTCATCTCTGACTACTTCAGCAAATTTCCCATTGTGCGCAAGCTGAACAACATTCAATCATCTACTGTCATCGCACACCTTAAAGGTATATTTGAAGAACATGGGATCCCAGACAAACTTGTCACAG